GGGGTGACATTTTCAGCCAGGTATTACAAACAGAGCCTCTGAATGTGAGCAATCTAGGCATTCTTATGCGTTGCCGGAACAAAGAAACTTGGCTCTAGGATGCTGACTTTTCATATCTTGGTGATCACTAGTGGCCCCAGCGTTCATACATCCAGGTGACCTGTATGATGGTCCCGCCCTGTGGACAGGTGCAGCCAGGAGGCATTTGTGGTCAGGGGCTGAACCACTCTTGCCTGCATGACTACCTAGATGCAGGGAGGTTGGCTGTCTGGCCAATGATACCATGCAGGACCTGTTAGTTCTTCCAGAAGAATCAATTGAGCAAATATTTTCCAGTGGCATTCCAGATTTGGGAGTGCTTGGCCCTTTACCAGCTGCTTTAAGAATCTCTTCATGTGAACCTGAGATGTTAGTACAGCATCAGTGCCAGGCCACTGACCCTTTCTGACCCCCATCCTCTTCTCAGGTCCCTCCTGGGCAGAGAAGCTGAGCTGCCACCCTGGGAACACTTAACCTCTCAGCAAAAGAAGAGGGATACTGGGAGTCCCGTCCTGGTCACCCCCTGCAGCACGGTGCTGGCCTCTTAGGGTGTGGTTCTCTGCCCTCAGAATGCGCAGCTTGCAAGGTCTCTCCAGCTCACGGGCTGGCTTGGAACAGACAGACTGACAGACTTTGTTAATGGTCTAACCATTAACAAAGACAGGTTCGCAAATGGATGCTCTTAACAGGATGCTTCTCCATTACTGTGTTCCTCCAGCAGTGAAGTTTCGGGAAAGGCTTCCTTTGGGATATGAAGTTTTCATTTTAGAAGGGTTTGCAGATCACCCCAGTCTGCTGCTTCCTGTTATCAAATTAGAGGGAGAAGAAAAAAAAAAAAAACCTATAATTTTTCAGAATGTGTTTCGCTCTGCTGCCTGTCTCCTCTTGTTAATTCCTCAATAGCACACTGGTGAGTTACAGGGTTCTGAACCCTGCATATGGCAGATGACTCTGGAAATATGGCAGCCAGCGCTTTTCCTCTCAGGGACCTCCTTGTGTCTTCCACTCACCATAAAGCAGATGGAAGTGCCAGGGATGGTGTTCCCGAGGGCCAACCCCAGAGGATGCTGGTCAGGATTTTGTATGTTAGAGAAAGTGTCCTGGAGCTGGGCAGCTTTTCTGCAGCTTCCCATGACCCCTGCTGGTGGAACTGCTCCGTAGACAACCACCTCCTTCCTGATCCTACAGGAACCTGGAGAGTTGCCTGGCTGTTATCTTCTGTCTTTTCTGGGCCTGGGCCTTGGCCTTACGGATGAGACACCTGACCACTGCCTGAGGGCTACCCTAACTTCTGTGGGCCTCTGGAAGCCTGAGGCTTCTCCAGCCCTTACTTGCCATTGCTCTTACTCCCAGGCAGAAGTGCCTTTCCACAGAGTCCTTCATGGGTACCCCATGGAGGAGACTGGGGGTTCAGTCAGAAGATCCCAGTCAGTCAACCTTGCTGAGCCGCTGCCATCCATCTGGTACACTCGGGCGCCCTAAAGGGCCTGCGTCTCCCCCCTTAGAGTGCAGGCTGATGAGCCTAGAGGATTTAAAAAATATATAATAAATGGTCCTCTCTGCTGATACAACAGGTTAGGACACAGCATGCAGGTTGGCCACAGCCACTTCAGTGCGAGTTCTGTCCCCAGCCCTGGAGGTGACCCACAAGGCGAGGCAGACCTCTCCTGGCCTGCCCGCTGCTCCCCTCAGCAGTGTACTTCGTCACTCGGCCTGTTCTGCTCCCTACTCAGTCTCTGGTGAAGCCTCTCACCACCCCCTGCACTTCTGGCTTGTACCCCAGTTCTGTGTGCATAAATAAGTAAATCTTAAAAAAATAATAATAAATTATAAAATTGTAAAATGACACCCATGTGTTACTGGTAGCCATTTTAAACAATGCAGAAGCATCATTATAAAGCAGTTGTACTAGCCTAGAACTTTCCTCAGTTATCAAATCCAAGTTTGATTTGTTTGGCTATTTTGATTTCTTGATGCCGGACCTGTAATACCTGAGTTCTCCAATTCCCCTTTCTCCTCCTTTTTTAGATAATTGTGTGTATTTTACAAGTTAGACAGTATAAAATACGAGGGACATTGTAGAAGAGGGATGTTCTTGGAGAATAATTGTTAAATGATAAAATGCATTACAGTGGTGCATGTGATAAGCAATTCTCAGGCCTCCTGAGAATCCGCCACACTCCACAAACTCTCTAAGGAGAGAAAAGGCAGGAATAAAAAATGATGGTATAGGGGAAAAATTAAAAGCAATTTAAAAAAAACAAAAACAAAACAAAAAACAACTGTATGCCAGAGACATTTTATGGGAGTGGAGTGGGAAATGGGATCAGAAATGGGTAAGAAAGGTGCAAGGGACTATGCTGATGGCACCT